GGAGCACAGCCCACTACAGCACACCTGCAACAGAAGTACTGGAACACAGCCCACTACAGCACACCTGCAACAGAAGTACTTGAGCACAGCCCACTACAGCACACCTCCAACAGAAGTACTGGAGCACAGCCCACTACAGCACACCTCCAACAGAAGTACTGGAGCACAGCCCACTACAGTACACCTCCAACAGAAGTACTGGAGCACAGCCCACTACAGCACACCTGCAACAGAAGTACTGGAACACAGCCCACTACAGCACACCTGCAACAGAAGTACTGGAGCACAGCCCACTACAGTACACCTCCAACAGAAGTACTGGAGCACAGCCCACTACAGCAAAACCTCCAACAGAAGTACTGGAGCACAGCCCACTACAGCACACCTCCAACAGAAGTACTGGAACACAGCCCACTACAGCATACCTCCAACAGAAGTACTGGAACACAGTCCACTACAGCACACCTCCAACAGAAGTACTGGAGCACAGCCCACTACAGCACACCTCCAACAGAAGTACTGGAACACAGCCCACTACAGCACACCTGCAACAGAAGTACTGGAGCACAGCCCACTACAGCACACCTGCAACAGAAGTACTAGAGCACAGTCCACTACAGCACACCTGCAACAGAAGTACTGGAACACAGCCCACTACAGCACACCTCCAACAGAAGTACTGGAGCACAGCCCACTACAGCACACCTCCAACAGAAGTACTGGAACACAGTCCACTACAGCACACCTCCAACAGAAGTACTGGAGCACAGCCCACTACAGCACACCTCCAACAGAAGTACTGGAGCACATTCCATTACAGCACACCTGCAACAAAAGTACTGGAGCACAGCCCACTACAGCACACCTGCATCAGAAGTACTGGAGCACAGCCCACTACAGCACACCTGAAACAGAAGTACTGTAGCACATCCCACTACAGCACACCTGCATCAGAAGTACTGGAGCACAGCCCACTACAGCACACCTGCAACAAAAGTACTGGAGCACAGCCCACTACAGCACACCTGCATCAGAAGTACTGGAGCACAGCCCACTACAGCACACCTGCAACAGAAGTACTGGAGCACAGCCCACTACAGAACACCTGCAACAGAAGTACTGGAGCACATCCCACTACAGAACACCTGCAACAGAAGTACTGGAGCACAGCCCACTACAGCACACCTGCAACAGAAGTACTGTAGCACAGCACACTACAGCACACTAACAACAGAAGTACTGGAGCACAGCCCACTACAGCACACCTGCAACAGAAGTACTGTAGCACAGCACACTACAGCACACCTCCAGCAGAAGTACTGGAGCACACCCCACTACAGCACACCTGCAACAGAAGTACTGGAGCTCAGCCCTCTACAGTACACCTGCAACAGAAGTACTGGAGCACATCCCACTACATCACACCTGCAACAGAAGTACTGGAGCACAGCCCACTACAGCACACCTGCAACGAAAGTACTGGGGTACAGCACACTACATCACACCTGCAACAGAAGTACTGGAGCACAGCCCACTACATCACACCTGCAACAGAAGTACTGGAGCACAACCCACTACAGCACACCTGCAACAGAAGTACTGGAGCACAGCCCACTACAGCACACCTGCAACAGAAGTACTGGAGCACAGCCCACTACAGCACACCTGCAACAGAAGTACTGGAGCACAGCCCACTACAGCACACCTGCAACAGAAGTACTGGGGCAAACCCCACTACATCACAACCTGCAACAGAAGTACTGGAGCACAGCCCACTACAGCACACCTGCAACAGAAGTACTGGGGCAAAGCCCACTACATCACACCTGCAACAGAAGTACTGGAGCACAGCCCACTACAGCACACCTGCAACAGAAGTACTGGAGCACAGCCCACTACATCACACCTGCAACAGAAGTACTGGAGCACAGCCCACTACAGCACACCTCCAACAGAAGTACTGGAGCATAGCCCACTACAGCACACCTCCAACAGAAGTACTGGAGCACAGCCCACTACAGCACACCTGCAACAGAAGTACTGTAGCACAGCACACTACAGCACACCTCCAGCAGAAGTACTGGAGCACACCCCACTACAGCACACCTGCAACAGAAGTACTGTAGCACAGACCACTACAACACACATGCAACAGAAGTACTGGAGCTCAGCCCACTACAGCACACCTGCAACAGAAGTACTGGAGCACATCCCACTACATCACACCTGCAACAGAAGTACTGGAGCACAGCCCACTACAGCACACCTGCAACGAAAGTACTGGGGTACAGCACACTACATCACACCTGCAACAGAAGTACTGGAGCACAACCCACTACAGCACACCTGCAACAGAAGTACTGGAGCACAGCCCACTACAGCACACCTGCAACAGAAGTACTGGAGCACAGCCCACTACAGCACACCTGCAACAGAAGTACTGGGGCAAAGCCCACTACATCACACCTGCAACAGAAGTACTGGAGCACAGCCCACTACAGCACACCTGCAACAGAAGTACTGGGGCAAAGCCCACTACATCACACCTGCAACAGAAGTACTGGAGCACAGCCCACTACAGCACACCTGCAACAGAAGTACTGGAGCACAGCCCACTACATCACACCTGCAACAGAAGTACTGGAGCACAGCCCACTACAGCACACCTCCAACAGAAGTACTGGAGCACAGCCCACTACAGCACACCTCCAACAGAAGTACTGGAGCACAGCCCACTACAGCACACCTGCAACAGAAGTACGGGAGCACGGCCCACTACAGCACACCTGCAACAGAAGTACTGGGGCAAAGCCCACTACATCACACCTGCAACAGAAGTACTGGAGCACAGCCCACTACAGAACACCTGCAACAGAAGTACTGGAGCACAGCCCACTACATCACACCTGCAACAGAAGTACTGGAGCACAGCCCACTACAGCACACCTGCAACAGAAGTACTGGAGCACAGCACACTACAGCACACCTGCAACAGAAGTACTGGAGCACAGCCCACTACATCACACCTGCAACAGAAGTGCTGGAGCACAGCCCACTACATCACACCTGCAACAGAAGTACTGGAGCACAGCCCACTACATCACACCTGCAACAGAAGTACTGGAGCACAGCCCACTACAGCACACCTGCAACAGAAGTGCTGGAGCACAGCCCACTACATCACACCTGCAACAGAAGTGCTGGAGCACAGCCCACTACATCACACCTGCAACAGAAGTACTGGAGCACAGCCCACTACATCACACCTGCAACAGAAGTACTGGAGCACAGCCCACTACAGCACACCTGCAACAGAAGTGCTGGAGCTCGTGACAGAGATATATATAAAGAGCAGACCGTGCACCAGTTGTGTAATTAACAGATCCTTCAGTAAAGTGAAGTGCAGATTGAAAAAAAGTCTAAAATGAGGAATATTATCGCACACGAGATATGCACGTTCATTATTGTGCGGGTCTCGTTAATAAAAAGATTGAGTGATTCTAAAAGAGAATAGCAGGAAAGAAGATTTACAACTTGTTTTGTAGTATGGTTTCGTGTGTGCAAATATATAAAATGGAAAACTGGAAGATCAACATTTAGAGCTTTCCTTGATTCCTCCAGGTATTAGAAAGCAGCTAATGTCTAAGGTGGCTAGCAACGTTGATATGTGACGGCGGCTGTTAAGTAAAAATGAAGGATTTATATGTAACTATTCTATATATTTATAGATGGGGTTGTAAGAGAAGTTAATGCTCGGGTGTTGGTAAGAGGTGTGGGGTTAAAAGATAAAGAATCTAACACAAAGTGAGAGTTGTCACAGTTGCTCTTTGCTGATGACACTGTGCTTTTGGGAGATTCAGAAGAGAAGTTACGGAGGTTGATGGACGAGTTTGGTAATGTATGTAAAAAAAAGAAATTAAAAGTGAGTATGGGAAAGAGTAAGGTGATGAGGATAACAAAAAAAATTTAGGTAACGAAAGACTGGATATCAGAATGAAAGGAGAGAGCATGGAGGAGGTGAATGTATTCAGATATTTGGGAGTGGACGTGTCAGCAGATGGGTTTATGAAAGATGATGTGAATCACAGAAGTGATGAGGGAGGAAAGGCTGAATGGTGCATTGAGGAGTCTGTAGGAGTCTATAGAGACAAAAAACATTATCCATGGAAGCAAAGAGTAATGTATGAGAGCATAGTTATACCAACGCTCTTATATAGGTGTGAAGCATGGGTGGTGAATGTTGCAACAAGGAGAAGGCTGGAAGCAGTGGAGATATCGTGTCTGAGGGCAATGTATGGTGTAAATATAATGCAGAGAATCCATAGTTTCGAAATTAGGAGGTGTGTGGTTATTAAAAGTATTATCCAGAGGGCTGAGGAGGGGTTGTTGAGGTGGTTAGGACATTTAGAGAGGATGGAACGAAATAGAATGACTTGGAGAGTGTAAATCTGTAGAGGAAAGGAACACGGGGTAGGGGTCGGCCTAGGAACCGTTAGAGGGAGAGAGTAAACTAGGTTTTGTGGCAAGTATGCGTGATCGTGTTAGATAGGAGTAAGTGGCCACTAATTTTTTTTAGAACTTGATGTACTGTTGGAGTGTGAGCAAGGTACTGTTTATGAAGGGATTTAGGGAAACCGGCGGGCTGGACTTGAGTCCTGGAGATAGCAAGCACACTATCTGCATTCTTCATGTTAATGTTGCAGTTTTTTAGCTGTAGTGTAAGCGCGCCTCTGGCAAGACAGCGAAGGAGTGAATGATGATGAAAGTTTTTCTTTTTCGGGCCACCCTGCCTTGGTGGGAAACGGCCGATGTGTTATTAATAAAAAAAAAAATTGAAGATGCAGCAGAGGAGAGTTTGAGTGAGTGGGTGAGGGCGTGTGTGTGTGTGTACTCACCTATTTGTGGTTGTAGGGGTCGATTCATAGCTCCTGGCTCCGTATGTTTGTGAGTATGTGTTACTTGTGCTACATATATGCTACATTAGTGCTTTTGTAACTCACATAGTACGAATATGAGGTGTCATTAAGTTGCGATGAGAAAGCATGACGCCCTTGGGCAGACCTGTGGTGCCGGAGGAGAACGGCATCACACACACTGTCCCTCTCACATCCAGCCCATCAGCCTGAAAATACAACGTCAGTTGTTTAGCATGTGGAACTCTGTCACTGTAATTAAAATTTATGCAACACAGGTAGTTCAGTGGGCATAAGGTGTCACTTTGTGTTCAGGATTCATGAAGAACAAAAAGGCACAATCCCGTGATTGGAACAATGTACAAATAACCCACACATAGGAGAGATGAGCTTACGACGACGTTTCGGTCCGACTTTTACCATTACTAAGTCACACTAACTAACAGAAAGGAGAGAAGGAGTCAGTACATATAGGCCAACAGACAGGGACGGGACAAGAGAGGTAGTAGGAAAGGAAGGAGAGAGGTGGTAGTAGTAGTAGTAGTAGTAGTAGTAGTAGTAGTAGTAGTAGTAGTAGTAGTAGTAGTAGTAGTAGTAGTAGTAGTAGTAGTAGTAGTAGTAGTAGTAGTGGAGTCAAAGGCCGTTCAATGTACAACCTGTCAGATTCTGAAACATCATGGAATCTTGGTTCAGAGGACATCTCCACTCCCTTCTTCACTACTACTAACCCGTCCCTCGGGTATGACCTACTTCCACTGGGGTATCCCGCCTACCAGTGACAATGCCTTCTCTGCTACCCGTCCCTTTCCACCTGATGCCAGTATATAAGTGCCAGCCTTCTTGCCTCTGCCCCATATTCTTCACGATTACGGTGCTCTTCACACCAGCTCCAAGGTTGAGGGACTGATTACCTCATCTTTTGTATATAGTTCTACTGTCTTCCAATTATGTCCTAGAATTTGTATTGATAAAGCCACTGGATGGCGAAACGTCTACAATGAATATATCCAGATGTTGCACATGTGTCCAATTTTCATCTTGACAGTATTGTATACCATTCTTGTACAAAGAATGCAGTAGAGCTAAGGGCTCACGAGGGGTAGGAAAAATAATAAAGGGGGGGGGGATAAAGGACCAAACACCCAAGGAAGAAGAAAGAAAACCCAAAGAAGAAAAGAAAAGAGGAAGAGGTAGAAAGAGAAGGAGAAAAAAGAAACAGGTAAAGTCACTGGTGTTCTAAAGTTTGGAGCATTTTACAGTGTAATAAGAAGGGAAGGCATCTACAGAGACGAAGCCAGGATTAAGATTCATACATGGAAAGTTGTGTATAAGGGAGGATTCAGCCAGACGGCGACTGTGAATATTAGAAGTAGGGTTGACAGTTTTAGCAGAAGATCAGTCACTAGGATGACTGTGATCTCTGACATGACAGAAAAGGGCATTGTTGGTGCCGGCAAGCCTAACACTACTTTTGTGCTGTTAAGTAAAAGAACACAAGTACAACTAATGTGACATTTTATTGTGGCAACGTTTCGCTCTCCAGGAGCTTTTCCAAGCTGTTGCTTTTGTGTAATTTTACTTAACACATTGTCGGTAATTCTACCAATATCAATACTTTTGTGCGCCATGAGTCTGTCAGAAAGAGAACGGACAGTTTCTCCAAAGTACTGAAGAGGACAAGAGGAAAATGAAATAGAGTAGACGAATAGAGTAAACAAATCTGTGAAGATGAGAGTTAGGACACATGTGCAACATCTGGTTATCATTATTGTAGACGTTTCGCCATCCAGTGGCTTTATCAATACCTACAAATTCTAGGACATAACTAGAATACAGTAGAATAAATCTATAGTGGGAGGTGAGGTACGAACTATATTGGTGCGAAGAATGTTAGTCTGGCGAAATTAAGTCTGATGTCTAAGGAACAAAGAGAGTGGTTGAGATTAGAAAGACTGGAAGTAGGGAAAGGCAGAGGACAGGAGAGTTCCCAGGAGTAGAGAGTTTGGGAGAGAAGAAAGTCCGTTTAGCACGTGAGAAGGCAGAGTTTATGAAATTGGAAGGGTAGCCAAGGCGAGAGAATGAATTACGAAGAGTGTAAATTTCCGATTCAAGGAACTGAGGGTCACAGATGTGGAGAGCAAGGAGAATGAGAGAAATAAGAACACTTTTCTTGACGGTGGAAGCATGATGAGAAAAGTAGTGAATATACATGCCACTGTGCATAAGCTTGCGGTACACGGAAAAAGAAAACCTGTATCTGAGAGGTGGACATGAACATCAAGGAGAGGAAGCAAAGAATTAGATTCCCATTCAGCTTTAAACTTAATGGAAGGGGCAAGATTATTAAGGACATCGAGAAATGGTTGGAAGAAGAATAGTTTCGAAGTATTCCAAATAAAGGTTAGCAAGAACAGGAGATAGAGGAGATCCCATAAGGACACCGAAGGCTGGAGAACAACATTTGCCTTGGAAAGAAAAGGAATTTGAGTCTACACAAAGACGAATAAGATCAAGAAAGACGTCAATAGGTATAGGGAGATTAAGTAACCCTTCATTGGCCGTCTCTCTGAAAGCCAATGAAGAGTCTCAACGTTGGGAGAGGTTGGGAGAGGGAGAACATGTTCGATAGTGTTTTGAAAGTGACGAAGGTGGGCACGAGAAAAGTACCAAGAAAGGGAGTGAGGGTTTTGGCCAGCCAAGAAACAAGAAAATGAGAGACAGAATCTCTAGAGGATATGATGGGTCGTAGAAGAATATCACGTTTATGAATTTTGGGACGACCATAGAGATGAGGCAGAGAGGGACAGATGACACGAAAACGTTGAACAAGGTTAAAGTCAGGAGGACAGAGGTCGGAGAGAGAGTCCTTAATTTCTTGTTGAAAGTTCCCTTGTTGCGATCATGAGGGTTGGAAACGAGAGGACTGTAGGGGCGTGAGTCACGGAGCGAGATTTCAGCTCTACGTCGCGATCAAGAATAACTACCGAATTACCTTTGTTAGAAGAAAGGATGACAATGTTAGTGTTAGATTTAAGAGAAGAAAGCTGAAGTTGATAGCAAGTTTTCTGCCTTCCCTATATTTCCAGTCGTTTTTAACCTCAACAACTTTCTCCGTTCCTCAGACATCAAACTTACTTTTCGCCAGACTAACACTCTTCGCACCAATAAAGTTCATACATCTCCTCCCGCTATAGATGCTCCTGGTACCTAATCTATTTCATGTTCCTCTTGTCCTCTTCAGTACTTTGGAGAAACTTGCCATTCTCTTCCTGATAGGCTCAAGGAGCACAAAAGTAGTGTTAGGCTTGCCGACACCAACAATGCCCTTTTCTGTCATGTCAGAGATCACAGTCATCCTAATGACTGGTCTTCTGCTAAAACTGTCAACCCTACTCCTAACTTTCACAGTCGCCGTCTTGTTGAATCCTCCCTTATACACGACTTTCCTTGTATGAATCTTAGTCCTGGCTTTGTCTCTGTAAATGCCTTCCTTTCTCATTACATTGCAAAATGCTCCCAACTTCAGAACACCTGTGATTTAACCTGATTCCTTTTTCTCCTTCTCTTTCTACCTCTTACCTTTTCTTATTTCCTTTATCTTCTTCGGGTTCTCTGTCTTCTGCCTTTGGTGTTTGATCCTTTATTCCCCCTCCTTTATTGTTGTTCCTACCCCTCGTGGACCCTCAGCTCTCCTGCAGTGCTTCTCTTTCTTGGCCTTTGACTCCAATAGTACTACTACTACCTCTCTGCTTCCTTTCGTACTATCTCTCTTGTCCCGTCCCTGTCAGCTGGTTTGTATATATTGCATCCTCCTCTCGCTTCTGTTATTGTGACTTTGTAAATGGTCCAAGTCAGACCGAAACGTCGTCGTAAGCTCCTCTCTTATGTCCGGGTTATTTTTGTAGTGTTCATGATACACACATTACAGGGTGTGAAGCTGTGTCAGTGTTCGTGATTCATGCAGTAAGGTGGTTCAGTAGGGTGTGATGCCGGGGTTACTCAGTTTCCTTATTCATAACACAAGCAATTTAGTTTATATAAAGCTGTGTAGCTTAAGTTTGTAAATCATACTTCATTATAAGTTAACCGTCTTCATGACTGTCACTCAAGTTAACGACTCCCAGATCACCAAATGTTTAGCGCTCATTATGCTTTTTCCCCTCAGATTCATTATTGACAGTGGTCACCTTAGACCCTATATATAGTTATTTTTGCACACTGTCTTAACACTCAAAGTAATGTACAGTTCGACCTTGTGTTGCATTTTCTCACTTAGGATCGACTAAACACTTCTCTCTTTCCTTTTAGTATTACCTCCTGTGGTTAAACAATACCTGCCTCGTTATCCCACCCAGTAGTAGTTTCTTATACCCATCTGATCAGCAATCAAATTACTGGATTCTTACGAGAAGTGGACTCTATTAACAATACTCTCTTCTGTGTTTCTCTGGGTTTAATGCCTCTAACATTATTTTAGAGAAAAATATGAGGTTCTTCAGAGGATGGAAGGACATATCGGGGACACTGGTGTCCGCGATCACATCTATCAGCAGCCCTTCAAACATTATGACTTATTTTGAAAGTCCACCTTAGAAGAAAGACGCACTTCATCAGATGCCTTATAGTGGAATGCATACAAGTCTCCCCGATTGCCTTATTAGACTTTCTTTGACAGCACTCAACGAACTATTGAAGATTTCATAAGAAGACCCAGGTAATTTTGAGGCTGCCAACAATCCTAGTTTCAATAGCGCCGCCACTCAGAGAAATATTCTCACAGTTCAAAAAATCAGCTGCGACAACGATCCAGCTGGGACAAGCCCAACCTGGAAATGATATACAGAGATATTTTTGAAAATTCATAATCCAAGCCATGAACGCCCTCCACTATGGAGACTTTCCTTTATCAATTCCTATCTCTGCAGCTGGCACATGTCTAGACCCACCAACTCTGTGTATTGCATTGGTTCTTTGCCTTGCTGCTTCTAGTCACATGAATACGGATGTCTTTGTTGCAAGGTGGCAAAAGACAAATATGATTTTCACGATTTGAACTGTGTGCGTTTTAAAGACTTGTACGTTATGTACAACAAAGTCAGCGACAACTATCATAGGAAGGCTTTCCATAGATAGTACACAGCTGAGAAAAGCCTGTCGTAGAGCAGTGGGTAGTGCACTTCACAATCAACAGCTCTTGGGATCGATACCC